ATCGTAAGTGGTTTTGCAACAAACAATTATTAATTTACTAGTTACTTACATTCAAGGTGATCAAGCAACAACAACAACAACAAATTATCACAACGATCCGTGTCCCACACACCAAGCGAATAGAATGCCAAACAAAATGGCTCACCAAACAGTCAATGTTTCGACCAATAGAAAACAGCTTCTAGATTGTTCGATCATACTGACCAATAAAATGCAAGTAACAAATTATATAGTAAACACTCAAATACTCATGAGTAGTACAACCATTACAACTAAATCCAACACTGCCCCCTGAGGTTGAAGAATCCTGGGATGTTTCTAATTGTTCAGGGTTCTGTGATTCTTCAACTTCACCTTCTAACTGCCGTACATCTCTTCTCACTATCCCGTTAGCTGTTCTTAACGTTACCTTCCGAACTAAGCCGTCGGTACCTTCCTGTATATCTGTGACGACCGCCTTCGGCCATTGCCCTCTCGATCGTGCAGACTCTATCATCAACACTAAGTCCCCAACCTTCAAATTAGGCTTAGGATCGTGCTATCGTTGCGTTAACTGTAGCGTTGGGATATATAGCTTCAACCACCTTTTCCAAAAAAGATCAACCAAGTACAATGTTTGTCGCCATCTTCTATTGTATTTTGTTGTATAGTCCTTTTCATCGATGCTAGCTGGTTCGCTTGCTCTAGGCAATGGTAACATGCTAGGTGAAAGCGCTTGTATGCCATCGACATCTTCTACCATCTTCACTATAGGCCGGTTGTTTAAAATCCTCTCTATCTCCACTAGAGTCGTATGTAATACCTCATCGGTGACCGGCTGTTCGTCGAGAACAACTACTAATATTCTTTTAATAGTTTTGATGATTCGCTCCCATATTCTTCCTCGATGATAAGCCTTTGGAAGGTTAAATATCCAATCACAATTGTGAGCGGCAAGGTTTTTCGATATTTTTTCTTGGTTCCAAGCTCTCATTAAACACTTTATTGCCCTTTCTGCACCATTAAAGTTGCTGCCGTTGTCACTATACAGGCGTTGTGGGTAGCCCCTACGTGCCGCAAAACCGTTAAAGACACAAAGGAAAGAATCGGTGTCTAGGTTATTAGATATTTCTAGATGAACCGCTCTTGAGCTGAAGAAAGTGAACAAGCAGCCGTATCTCTTTTCCACGGTCCGTCCACATTTCACAAATAGTGGTCCAAAATAATCGACACCTGTCACAGTAAATGGATTACAGTGGTACATAAAACGATCTTCTGGTAGGGGTGCCATAGCCTGTTGGCAAGGTTGAGAGAACCACTTACGAAACTTATAGCAATTATTGAGAAACGACTTGATGGTTTTCACTGCTTTAATGATCCAAAATCTTTCACGGATTGTTGAAATCAGAAAGTTTACTCCCATATGTCCATTCGCTTCATGATAATGTCTAATAATTAAATGGGTAATAATATGATTATGCGGTAGTATAATCGGATGCCTTACTTCAAAGGGTAGACCTGATTGTTGTAAGCGCCCACCAACTCTTATTACTCCATTAACCGTAATTGGTTTCAAATGACGTAGTGGACTTGAAGACTTGCATAATGCTACTTTAATTGTTCGGTCGACCTCCTTCTCGCTCGTCACTACCGTGACGTGATTAACCAGCTTAAATACATCATTAAAACATTCCTTCTGCGCCAATCGGATAATGTTGAGCTCAGCCGCTCTTAACTCTGTGACTGTGAGGTTTTGTTGGTTAGTTAATTTGTTCGTCAAGAGATGTTTATAACGTAGAAGCCAAGCTATCATTCGTTGTAATTTCATCCATGAATTCACAGCTTCGAATCGACTCAGAAACGTAGGTTGATTCTCGATTGGATATAAATCTTTCTTTGACAACATTTAGTTTATATAGGAGCATGCATTAGTGTGCTAGTGTGGTTCCTGCTGAACATACCCCTGCAATAAAAATGTTGGACCACTAAGCCATCGTTTTAATTTTCGTTCTTAGTTTACCATGAACCCTCGGGAAAGCAGATCCGCTGGGTTGAGCTTGGAACTATCGTAACACCAGTCTGATGGCCTCGTCTGTTTCCGAATCATTAGTAATCCACTTAGTCAAGTTGAATCCACCTTTTGATAACATATCTTTTAACTGAGTTGCTACTCGATAGCTTGTTTCAGTATTGGGAGTACTAATTAAACAATTGTCTACGTAGAAACTACGTGTAGCCATGTCGTAAACTTCTTTGTCATAGTCTTCCTTGTTATCTTTGATGGTACGATTAAGAGCAAACGTAGCGCAACTAGGAGAAGAGGTTGCTCCAAATAGGTGGACTATCTTGCGAAGTTCTTCAGGGCTGTCAGTAAAATCTCCGTTCGTCCACCATAAAAAACGCAGAGCGTCTCTATCGCATTCGGGTACTTTAACCTGGTGGAACATTGCTTCGATGTCAAACATTACTGCTACCCTTTCTTGTCTAAACCTAAGAATTACACCCCATAACGAATTACTAAGATCCGGACCAGAGAGTAACCTGTCGTTTAATGATCGTCCTTCATGTTTAGCAGCGCAATCGAATACTATTCTAATTTTCTCTGGTTTCGCTGGATGGACGACAGGGTGATGCGGTAAGCACCATACGTTATAGTTATCATTTAACGGTGGCGCAATTTCTGCATATCTCTTTATAAGGTAATCTTTCATTGCATCCGCATAGCGTCTAGCTAAATCTTTAGAGGTACACGGTCGTTTGCGTAAAGCGTTCAGACGATGCAAACAATACGACTTATTATTCGTCCATTCTAACTGTGAATCTTTCCACGAGAGTGATATACAATAATGACAATCCTTTAACGTGATAGACTTCTCCGTGATTCTGAGTGCGGTTCTATCTTCAATCGATAAGTCTTTATCTTTAGACTGACTTTCCTCTAACAGGTCTTGCTGGTAGAATCTTTCAAGAGTACTTTCAATTTCTAAGAGACTGAGATGATTTGCCTTTATGTGACTTGTGACATGACTACCAAAGGGTCCTATCAGTGTCCAACCAAATATGGTCTTTATCGCGTACGGTTCCTCTGGTCTTCCTAACCTTTCTTTTCTAAATTTCTATGTGCTTCGGGAACATTGCAGCCAACCAGTAGTCCTATTCGCTTACTTTCACATGTCCTCAGGTCTATTCCCTGCAGATGTTCCCACAATCGAAGCTGCTTCTCCTCTGGTACCACTCGCTTAATCTTAGGCAAACTGGGAACAACATATGCTCTTTCTATCCGAATTGACTCATTAGATTCGTATGAGCTAACTTCTAGTTGTGCCGCATTTGTCCGCATCTCTCTGTAACCATTCATAGTCTCTATCCGAACACGGGTAATTTTAAATCGTCGACAATATCCTTAAATACCAATGTCGAGTCAGAGCCGCTATCCAAGAATGCTAAAGTTTCTACCGTACGGTCACAATTGCGGAGAATTACTAGGACCACTGCAAATGCCACCTTAGGTTCTTCATTTTCCGCTCGGGAATTCGAAACGTAATTAGTAGCAACATTCGCATTAGATAGTGAGACGTCCGTCGTAACATGCAACAATGTATGGTGCCTACCACCACAACCCTCCACGGTACATCCTCTGCGCAATCTACAATCCTTAGCTATATGATTAGTCTTTAAACATAATCGGCATAACCTTTTCTCCTTGATTAGATGTAACCTTTTATCTACTTCAAGGGATAGCAACGTTGGACACTGGTCTAGAAAGTGGTTGTCTTTACATAAGATATACACTAAATACCTTTCTTGACGTTGACTTGAAGGCGAGTGCTGCAATGTAAACACGTTACTTTTTGTACTCGGTGGTTGAGAAGAAACAACGTTCCGGACTCGTTTATCTGACTTTAAATTCGCTGCGAGTTCTCCATATCTCGTACACATTATGTTGACACGTTCCTCGATAAACCTAGCTCAGTCCTCAAAGGTAGGCTCTGTGTCTTGTTTCATATAATCTAACGCTGTTTTCGCCCATTTAAACCGGAGATTCGAAGGCAACCTCGCCACAATAGCTTCTAGTGTTCTGCTTGCATTTAAATCGGACTGGTGACTTTAACTGTTTTAATGTCACGACGCATGTTCGCATTTTTCGACTAAGGTCAGCCAATGCCGCCGAGTCGTCGTTCTTAACTGGTGGCCCGTCAATTATTTCATCTATAAAGGCCCTAGCCACCATGTAAGTCTGACCGAATTTCCTTTTTAAGATATCTTTAGCCATTATAAAGCCATCTGTGCCATTCATTATAGTACAATGCTCTATAGAGTCTCTCGCCTTACCTGTGCTAAATTGGATTAAGTAATTCAAACGTATGGTGTCGTCGGTTGTCACTTGTTCTACAACTTTCTGAAACTCTTTCGTGAATATCCAATACTCCTTAGGGTTTCCGTCAAATCTCCTTATTTCTGGCTTTGGCAGTTCGAAGTATCTTTCTACATAATTCGTTGTAGGACAGGTGTCGCGTTTCATGTTTCCTCTTTCGCTAGAATTTTGGGGACATCCTTCTCGTAACAGTATTTCCAACAAGAGCCTTTTTTCCACTTCTTGTAATTTTAGCTTTGCCAATTCTATTTCCATTTCCTTCTCACGTAGGCCCTTTTGGTAGCTTAAGACAGGACTTTCAGTCTTTTCTAACTGAACAGATAAATCTGGCATACTATCTTCTAGATGTTGTCGTTGTTGACGCAAAAAACTTGAATAACTGTAGGATTTTCGTTGCATAACGTTAGATTCACCAGAATAAAGCACCCGAAGTCAATGAAGTAAAAGCTCTTTGAGTATTCGGAATATTTATTTGGAACAGTTAAATAAATATCGTAAGTGGTTTTGCAACAAACAATTATTAATTTACTAGTTACTTACATTCAAGGTGATCAAGCAACAACAACAACAACAACAACAACAAATTATCACAACGATCCGTGTCCCACACACCAAGCGAATAGAATGCCAAACAAAATGGCTCACCAAACAGTCAATGTTTCGACCAATAGAAAACAGCTTCTAGATTGTTCGATCATACTGACCAATAAAATGCAAGTAACAAATTATATAGTAAACACTCAAATACTCATGAGTAGTACAACCATTACATCTAAATCCATTAGATGTAAATGATGGAATTCAAACGAATTTTAACATTAAAACATTACCACCACTAACTATATTCATTTCGATAAGAGTGGAAACACGACCGTATCCTACGATGACCAGTTTAATAGATCAAGAAATATCAGTATGGGTTTCAGGAATAAAAGGATCATATTTAAATGAAATATTATACAATTTATCGTCAATTTATCATGTATAAGAATAAGTTCATCTTCATTAACATTCACATATTTACTAGAGATAG